TTCAAATCCCCCACTCTGTCATGAAGCTCACTGGGTGATCGCAATCACTCGCTCTCAGCCTAACCTCCCTCACAGGGTTGTCGTGAGGGTGAGATGGGGAGGAAAAGAGCCATGTACCTCTCAGAGGAAGGGTGGGATATAAATGCAACAAATACACAATAAATAAACAAAAATCCTGGGCAATAGAAGAAGGGGGTCAAGATGTTGGGGTACTACTTCCATCTCTTTAGAGCCAGCATGAGGACTAACAAGATGATTTTACAGTATTGTTCTTTTGCACCCAGCGGCCTGATCCTGGCCATAGAAACATCACACTGCCAAGTCTTGCACTGAGACATTGGTGCACAATTCCTCAGCAGCAGCCACCCTTTTGTGCTGGGAATCTGAAGCTCCTTTGGTCCAGAGACCCACGGCACTCGCTTGTGTCCCTGGGAACAAACGTGGGGCCCAGCCTAGCCCATCCTGATGCTAATCTTGCCCCCACCTCCCAACCGTTTCCACTTGCTTTGTGTTTCACTAAAAATACAGCTGCAGAGGAAATTTCTGTTGCGGGGTGGATACCTTCCTTCTTGGGAGGGGCTTCCTGCCAACACCCCGACTCAAAAACAACCAGGCGGTTCAAGTTCCTGACCAGAACTCTAATGGGAGGCGGGAGAAGGAGAGGAGGATGCTCTGAGGTCATGCGTATGGCACCGAGCGCACACTTTGATCCCATGCCCGCCCCGGACCCTCCCTCAGTTACGGGCTTGCGCTTTCTGCAAGAATGCTGGCAGATCCACACCGCAGATTTCAAGCACGTTCAGCGCGCATCTAAAGCACTTCCTCCCAAGGCATAATGGGAACTGTAGTTTAAGGGTGCTGGGAACTGTAGCACGGTGAAGGGGAAACGACAGAAGGAAATGATAGTGATAATATGAATAGTGGTGACAGGCAGGGAGAAGGAAAAGCCAAGGGGGTCAAGGTACCAAGAGGAACATCAACATGTTTTATAACAGGGGTGGGGAACCTACGGCCCTCCATGCTTCTTATCTGGCCCTCGGAACTCTCCCGAAGCCACGCCCCTGCTCCACCCCCTCCTGGAGGATTACTGCCTGCCTGGGACACATCCTTGAATTCTGATGATGTCCCCTGCTTGCCTGGAGATGGAAAGCGCAGCGGATGTAGAAACTAGCCCACTGTACAAAGATAAAATTGACACTCATTCCCCTGCCCGCTTTTGCCTCTAGCCCTCCCCACTGTGGGCATGTGGCCCCTGGAAGGTTGCCCACAGGGAATTGCGGCCCTCGGGCTGAGAAAACTATCCCCACTGCTGTTCTAGAGTCCAACCCCTCTGTAATGCAGGAATATGCAGCTGTCCTATACAAGAATCAAACCTGCAACCTTGGCGTTATCAGCACCAAGCTCTAACCAACTGAGCTACCCTACCTGGGACGATAACATGTCTCATTGGTTCTAGCAACAGTTTAAACTGGACTGTGTCAGCAACGTGGCAGGCTCTCAAACAGCCATGAATCTTCCTTGTCCTCTCAGGAAAGCACGCCGTTGAGGCCAAAAACATGCCACCGTGCAATCTTCCCTCGCAATCGGAGCTTCTCTGATAGAAGACATAAAACGAACCTTTCCTGGGCTGGATATGAATGTTTTGAGTTTTTAAAAGCCAGTCCTGTATAGAATCTGGAAAACGTTTGAGGAGGGTCTGCAGTTCCGTTGCAGAGGACCCTAAATCGGAGCCTCACCAGTTAAAAGTCTGCAGGAGAGCAGCCAGGCTCTACGCCAAAGGCCACAATCCTGCAAGACGTCAGAAATGGATTTTAATTTTTTTTTTTTTTAAAAAAAAGAGCAGGTCTATAGTCTTCAGTATAAACCTGAAAGCACAGATACATTTATGTGCTGAACTATGAGAAGCTAACTGAGGGGGACATATGGATGAACAAAAGTTACAGCAGACAGAAAATGTTAGTCACTGCCCCTCACCCCAATAATGCAGAATAAGAGGAGGGTGGGACAAAAATGTAAATATACTTATCTGCCTCATTTTGGCAGGTTGCATAACTGAGATTTCCATGGGGCATATAATTTAATTTATTCCCTTTTTTAAAAAAATCATACAGTGATACCTTGGTTTACGAACTTAATCCATTCCGGAAGTCCGTTCTTAAACCAAAGAGTGCTTTCCCATAGCAGCGGGGGAATCAATTTACAAATGGAACACACTCAACAGGAAGCGGAACATGTTCTGCTTCCAAGGCAAAGTTCACAAACCAAAACACCTACTTCCGGGTTTGAAGCATTCTTAATCCAAGCTGTTCATAAACTAAGCTGTTCTTAAACCAAGGTACCTCTGTAGTGGGGTACACACTGCCATGAGTTCAACTTTACTGAGGAGAGGGGCCGGTGCTTCCCTTCCCCTTAGCGATCCATTCGCAACATGCGAGAGCGATTTCCACCCACTCCCCTGGAAAACATCACAAGTGGGCTAATTAGTGCTGGGAAGGCTGCAGATCCTGCCCCAGGGTCTCTCTAATAAGGTGTTTCGCAGCAGCTGTAATTTAAGCTTTATAAACCTGACCTGATGGTGACCCTCTCTGTTCGCTGTTGCTTTTTCTCTTTTTCAAAATCCTGCGCAGAGCAAGAGCGGAAGTGTATTTGTCAAGGGAACATGACGGCATTCTCAGGAGCTGAGCTACATGCCCTTGCCTGAGGTTATCAGGGCTCCTGGCCTGGGTCTCGTTACAATGCAAAGACACCTATAAAATCAGCAGGGTTCTCGACCGGTTTAAGACGTACCTGGTGCAAGACTGTCTGCCCTTGCCTGGGAGCAAGCCCCATTAAAATATTTATTCAGGTGCTCATTTCAAATAATAATAATAATCCGCCCATCACCCAAAGGTGCCAGGGCAGAAATGCACACATTTCAGAATCAAATTTAACTATAATATGAAAAGCAGCATTTTTTTAAAAAACAACTGGATTCAAAATACAAATTAAAACACAGCAGCAACCAAAACCTCAATACACCTCTCTCTTGCACTCAAACCCAAAGGCCTATGCAAAGGCCAGGCATATATGGATAGGATTATTCTGTAAATTTAACTGTATTTCAAAGAAGAGCTCACAAATCGCTAGTCCACATTGAGGCTGTTTGTTTTTTTAAAACAAGGCTGCCTGTCTAAACACCACTATGAAAAACCATTTCCAATACAGGAAATTTAAATGAAGAGAGGAAATTTTTTGTCAAGTTTCTCAGCTAGGTAGCAATTCTGACTTGTTTTATTATTATTGTCATTTATTTCTCCAGTTTAATTATATTTGCACAGAACCAAGGTGAGTCATGTCTGATGCAGAAGAAGTTTTGCAAGTCTGGGTAGGAGGGAGGGGGAACAATACTTCAAACAAATGTTGGGACTTCAGTTATCCATGTAGTTCCTTCTGCCCACACCCAAACAGATACCCTTTACTCTATCGAGAGCCAATCCAAAACTGTCTGCAAACTTTGGCAAACCTGCTTAGCTTCCCTTCAATTATTCAGGACACAGAATCTGGGTTTCGTGGTTGCAGAATTCCTGTTTTGCCTGCCTGTTTTGCTACAAACCACCAAATGGGCACACCTTCCATCTCGCATGCCATGAGGTCGGAATTAATGGAGTTAATATCTTAGCCCCCTTTTCAGCCTAGAGAATCTGCTGATGGCGTGACCCCAGGCGCCTGTAAATAGAGCCCTAACGACACATCTTGACCTCATTTGCCACAGAGTAACTAAGGACCACTTCATTCCCCTAACCCTTCCCCTTCCGCTAATGCCAGATTATCCCTCCCACCACCACACCCCTCCCTGGTGCAGGAAAGCCCAACTAAAAACCTCCCTCTGCTGTGTATTCATCACAGTCCCGACACTCACTCCCAATGTCCAGTCAAAATGCTGCTGGGTGCCCCTACCTACCCACCCACCCGGCCAGCCTTTTTGCATTCCTTCAAAGCAAGTCCATCTGCCACCTCCAGCCGAAGAGAAACACAATCAGGCATTTTCAGTGGCTGGGCAAGGGATGGGAGAATCCGACTATTTCAGCCTCTTTCAGCAGCTCATTTCCCCAACCTTAACATCTACACATTTCCATGTAAATTTGGCTCGTCCTCATGAAAATCCGTCATGCATTTCAATGCTGATCTCGCCCGATATCCACATCATTGTTAGCAATTTTGCCCAAAGTACACATTTTTTTGCAATACAATTCCCCCAATACAATGCATTTTTGCATCTTATTTTCACCAAGAGGGGCATTTCTATGCACGCAAGTATACTCATTCTGTTACGCATAATTTGGCCGGAAAACTGCTTTGCAAAATCCAGAATTTCAAAGGCCGTCTGCTCTCTGTTTCACGTGTTGTTTCAGAAATTGCAAATGAGGTAGCTTCCTCTTTAAATGCAAACTCAGTCAGGCATGTGCAGCATGCCTTCAAAGTGTGCTCTCATACTACTCTATAACATTCATGGGAACTGTCATTGGCAATGGGTGCTGGGAACTGTGGCTCTGCGAGGCCAGCGGGCTTGACAAACTACAGCTCCCAGGATTCTTTGAGGGGAGTCATGACATAAAGTGGTGCAAGTGTGCTTTAAGCGGAGAAATATACCATATTTTTTGCTCTATAAGACTCACTTTTTCCCTCCTAAAAAGTAAGGGGAAATGTGTGCGTCTTATGGAGCAAATGCAGGCTGCGCAGCTATCCCAGAAGCCAGAACAGCAAGGGGGATCGCTGCTTTCACTGCGCAGCGATCCCTCTTGTTGTTCCGGCTTCTGAGATTCAGAATATTTTTTTTCTTATTTTCCTCCTCCAAAAACTAGGTGCGTCTTATGGTCTGGTGTGTATAGAGGGAAAAATAGGGTAAATCACGCTTGCGCATGGCCGCCACCATCCTGGAAAGTCCAGAGCAACCCAGAAACCTCTGGCTGCTCAGAGTTAGACCCACACGACCCTCCGAATGTGCCCGAAATTGGCCTTACCTTCTTCCCACTCTCCAAGCTCAAGCTGTGCTTGTGCCTCTTGAGGTTTCGGTTGCTCAGATCCAGCTGGGGCTTCCAGGCCTCACCATTGTTGTCACTTGCAGTCGGCTTGACCGGCGACACCTCGGGGTTTGCCACGATGCCCGTGCGGGCCATCTCCTCGGTGCAGGTGAGCTGCAGGCTCCGCAGGTACTCGTCGGTCTCTTTGTCCACCACCAGCAAGCGAGTCTCTGCTTCCACGGCCTTGATGCGCTGCACCACCTGGAGAAGGATGGGCAGGAAAGGAAGAAAAACAAATATGAGCAGGGACTCCCGGGGGTGGAAACCAAGCAATTACGGCTACAAAATTTCTGCCGAGTGCAGACCATATGCCTGGTGCGTTGTGTTTATTTATTTGCTGCATTTATATCCCAGCTTTCAAGGTGGCATTCGTGGTTCTCCACCGAATCCTCACAACAACCCTATGAGGTAGGTTGGGCTAATCTAGCCTATTAACCAGGCTTCCTCAACCTCGGCCCTCCAGATGTTTTTGGCCTACAACTCCCATGATCCCTAGCTAGCAGGACCAGTGGTCAGGGATGTCTCAAAACATCTGGAGGGCCGAGGTTGAGGAAGCCTGCTATTAACCAATGGTTTCCTTTAACCAGTGGATTGAAGGCACGGCAGCACTCGCAACATAGGAACGGATTGCTCATAGATACAGGGTTTGTTTGGCTAAATATGCTGATAAAGAAACTTTTTATAAAACTTTTAATAAAAGTATGGAAATAGTTTATTGAATAGTTACAGATAAACTGTAAACAGATAAAAACATTGGCAGGATTATTGTAACAACCTGCAGTTACATAAGAGTTTATATTTAAAGAAGATACCCTATTTTTCCATGTATAAGACTAGGTTCCCCCCCCCTAAAAAGAATGTCAAAAATTAGGGGGCATCTTATACATGGATAGTGCCGAGGGTGGACTGTGTATTTTTGAGTACCCAAAAATAGGGGGCATCTTATACATGGGGACATCTTACAAACGGAAAAATACAGTAAATAAATGAATAAGTTAAGTTAATTTGAATATGCAGAAGGTATTAAAAATAAATTTAAAGAACCCCAGAAAGAGGGGGAAGGAAGTCAAGTTTTAAAATGTCAAAATGATTGGAAAATCAGTGAAATGTATATAACTGAAAAGTATATTTTTTTTAAAAAAATGGATAAATATACTAATATTTGGAACAAGTTTATACAGAACATACTTTATTAAGCATATATGTATTAAGCATATATAATGAAATATCTGTTACCATTTATTGTATTATGTTTCTTCTCTTTCTCTCCCCCCCCTTTATTTTGTACAACTGAAAAGCTTTAAAATATTAATTAATTTTAAAAGAAAAAGGGGAAAAGGCTAGGAGGCTGTGACCAGCCCAAGGTCACCCAGCAAGCCCCATGGCCAAATGGGGATTTGAACCTTGGTCACTCCTGGGTCCTGGTCTGAAACTCTAACCACTACACCACACTGGTACCACAGTGCAGCAGAGCTGTGATGCATTCACTTTCTGGATTTCAGGGCAGAGTGTGGGGAGCGGGATGGAAAAAAGTGGAGGGGCATGGGACAGACTTGCAAACTCGAGGATTTGGTGGGGTGGTGCAAGGGTTGGAAAACTTTCAGCTAACATAATGCCCATAATGAAAAGTATGGCTGCAAGACCTACCTAAGATTAATGTATTCACTAGAAAGAACCAAACTGGTGGACAAGGCAAGTTCTGGTTCTGGTGTGTCACTGTAACACCGTCAAGACAAGACAACCAGCTGTGGCTTTCATGGGCTGGGGATGATGTCGACAGGTGTGACCTTATTCAAATTCTGTGCTTGCCCAGTGCAGTTACGTAAGTCCCCCCGCCCAAGCTATCAAAAACAGTGTGCAGACTGACATGCCACAGACCCATAACTCAAGCTGTAATGCTTTATATCTGTCCTTGACTCAATTTTACTTTGCAACTTTTCCAACCAACTCTCAGGATCCTCTGCGCAAGGATTTGGCAGGAAACTTCAGAGTGTATTCAACTGAGGCTGGGGGAGGGGGACAATTTTAGCAAAATCCACAGACAGTCCAGGGTAGTATTTTGGAACAGGATTCTGTAATCTGAGAGGTGCATACCTTCATCTGAGGATACCTGCCTCCAGGTACCTGCTTTTGACCTTCCTGGAGACATCTGTTTGGCTACAATGGGATGATGCTACACTGGCCAGGCCTAACGTCTGGTCCAGCTGACATTCTTAATTACAGCTAACTGGAACTTCCATGTTCAGAGGAAGTCTACCTGAGTATGCCAGATGCTGAGGCAAACGACCATAGAAGCAGGCTACTGCCTGCATTCTCTGTTTACCGGTATGTGATTCCTGAGACCACCTTGCCAGCCTCTGTAGGAAGCTGGATGCTGGGCTAAGTGGGGACTTGCTTGACCTAGCGGGGCTCACAATCTCATGCTACCTTACAGAGATGGCCTTATACTAAGGAAAGATGGAGCAGCATGTTTGGACACTGTTAAAGGCAGTAAATTGGACTACCTTTGGTACAAGGGGAACCTGTTAGCCAGGTGGCTCAGGAATTTGAAGAAACAAAAAACAAACAAACAGTGCAGTTAAATCAGTGATTGTTGTTAAACCATAGATCAATCGTTTTTATTGTTTATGTAGAGAATTATGCAGAAATTATGGTTTGAATATTCTGGTTGTTTGCCATAATAAACATTGATTAATTGATTGATTGATTGATTGATTGATTCTGTGATTGAAATTGGTACACTTTTGAAAAGATCAGTCCTCTGTCTGGATACAAAGTGGCATCCAATGGTACCCAAAAATAGCCAAAACCCTGCTCCTTGATCTCAGGGGCCAACATGCAAAATCTGCTCACTGTATCTTAACATGTTTCCAAATGCATAAAAGAACAGATGGACAAACAGCTTTCCAAAATTCATGGCAGATGGCACAGAGTTAAAATCTATGAAAGTTAAGCAAATATTAGAGAGAACAGCCTTCCCCTACCTGGTGCCCTCCATGACTGCATGAATCTGGGGGTGATGTGACTTGCTGTAGCCCAAAACATCTGGGGGGCGCTAGGCTGGGGAAGGCGGAGACAGATGCTGTGCAGGATTACCTCTTGCAAGCATGTACCTGCCCACATGCTAAGAGATCATCCCAGGAGGCCCCTTAGGCAATTAGTAACCAGAGAGAGAGGGTCCATTTCCCCTCTGCTGCTCTGCTCATTGAATGCTTTTCCCAGCTGTGCAAAAGCATGACAGGCAGACCAGCAGAGACTGCCAGGGGCCCTGCCTGCATGGTCAAGAGGTGCGATGGCAGCCCGTGCCAGCCATTTGCTCCTGCATTTGCCCACATGCAGCTTCTCAGAGAGGACACTGTCCAGTCACCAAGGTACCAAATGACAAATGATGCTGAGGACCTAAGTGCCTCTTCATTCATCTACCCTGAACACAAGGTTACGCAGCCAGTCTCTGTGGATGACAGAATGCCCATGGTGTGAAATTTACAGAGTGCAGCCCATCTTAAAATGAACTAACTAAACTGAGCCAGGGAGCTGGAAAATCCTTCCTGCCTGCAATCTCCAGAGTCAATGAGCCAGGCACTGCCAATCATACGCTTGCTGGAAGAGCAATGATGCGAGTGCCAGCCAGGCCTTCTGCTCCCTTTCAGAGCCACTTTGCATCAGCCACCTGGTGACACATACCATTTATGGCCCCAGAGAAGTAGGGGGTGGGAATGACCTATTCGCCTCTTCTTCCAGTTTGCAAAAGTTCTGTTGCTTGTTCGCCCAAGGACACCTCTTGCTTACTGCAGCCGACCCAGGCGAGCAGTTACTTGCAAGCCTGCATTCATCTACCAATATGAAAATTTCCACAGATGCATTCGTGCTTTATGCTTTCTGCAACTAATTCACCTGAGCTAGAGAGTTAGAGAAGAACGTTGCCAATCCAGCTCGACTCCTACATGCACAAACGAAAGGAAACCCCCGTGGCTTGAAAACAAAACAAAACAAATCCTAAAACCTGATTTCCGACGCAGATTCCAGCCTGCTCATTCCTTCCCATTAAGACGGCCTCCGAGCTCAACCGCAGAGCAAGTAAATGTTTCAATTGTGCAGCAATTGCAATGAAGGATCAGAAGGCCTCCACACTCCTGGAAGCAACAGGGCTTTGGCGGGAGTAAGTTCCTCAGCAAAGCAAGGGAAGCCGGTCATTTTTGTGATGCAAGAGAGCAGCTGATCACCTCTCAAATCCTCTTTGGGGCTTGGCTTGATTGCTTGTTTCTTTGTATACCACCCTATACCCTTGGATCTCAGGGCAGTTCACAACATAAGATCACAATACAGAAATCAGAAAATACATAACAATAGCCCCCCCCCCAAAAGGCAACCCAATAACCTTCTCTTCCACAGCACATTTTAAAAGGGCATAAATACAAGTTCTAATTACCGGTATTTTGGTATCTACACTCAGAGCAAGGCATAGCTACTCTCTCCAGCGCAAACAGAAAGACTCTCCTACAAACATTCACCCCATCACTGCCACTGTCACCTCTGATCTCTGCCTGTCCACTGACTTCTCACTTCTACAGCTTCAGACGTGGTTGCCTGACCATATTGTCTTGCCTGACGCTGTTGCTGTCTAATAGCAACAGGGAGCATCCCTCGGTACCAAGGGAAATGTACAAGGTAAGCCACACCACAATCATTTCATAGAAATCACTTAGGCCTCCACAAAATGTGCCTGCACATTTTACTCCATAACTTTCTTTCTAGGAAGGCTGGAGACTTACTTTTTTAAATAGATAAGAAAGGAAAGAAAGCTCAGAATCTGGGGCACCTGCCCAGAGGCACCCATGGGTGCCATGGCGTATGCAGGTGCTAGGTTGGCGACCCCTATTGTACAACATGGCGGCTCATCTGCTGGGGGCCACCTGTGCTAAAGTGTTTGAGTTTTTGTGATGGCCTATGTTTTCCAGCAAATAAGTCTGACTGACTGAATGCAGGTATTTCATACAGTGCCAAGCGACAGCTTCTTGAATCCTGAACCAAGTGGATCTAGATAATCCCAAGAGTTGGTGCCCAAGTCAGCTGAATGTTAATCCAATGCTAACTGTCAGAAGATTCAGGACAGATTCAAAAAAGTACTTCTCTGCACAGTTAGCATTGTTAAACTGTAGAATTTGCTACCAGAAGATACAATGGCGGCTATAAACTTGGATGGCTTCGAAAAAGGACTGGACAAATTCATAGCTGGCTCTTCTCAGGTTCTTCTGTCAGAAACTAATTTCACTTGAGAGCCAGGCTTGGCAAGGAAGGTGAGGACACAGCCAACACCCTACTGTCCTGCTGCAACATCTCAGTTCCACAGACGCTGCTCATCTACATCCAATTTATGCTCTCCCTGGCTTGGTAACCGAGAGGCAAAATGGCACCAAACAGGGAGTAGGGCAGATTTTGCCCAGAGACCGCCGGCTGCCAACCCCAAAACTAACATTCTGAGATTCTCTCTCTACTCACTCACGCTGTGCTAAGCGTCACCAACCTGGTGCCTTGCAGATGTTGCTGGACTACAACAGATTAAGTCAGACAACATCTGGAAGCCGCCAAGCTGGTGCCGGCTGCTTTCTACACCATTCACAATTCACCACAGTACTTAGCTGCCTTTCTGTCTAAGCCAAAAAAAGTCCTACAGGATAAAATCTCTGTTTATAAGAGCAAATACTTAGCCTAAAAACCTCAGTTGCTATCACTGCTCTTTTTCTATATTCTCCCTAGCTTCACGATATGCATTCCAAGAAGGAGTGACCATGACTGCATGTGAAATTTTCATTTATTTCCTTTTTCTCTTTATTTTATTTTCCTTTGTTTTCTTGTTTTTGCTTCCGTTCCTTTTTAGATTAGATTTCAAAAGCATTTCTTGTATTCTGGAGTATTATAAAAAGATACTTTGTACTGGGTATGAACTTTTGCATATCTTTGGATAAGCATCAACAAAAATTGTTATTGGAACAAAATTGCAAACGAAATTGCCTGCCCAGCTTAATTCTTTTGGATCACCACGAGGATCCAGAGCTCAAGCCTCAGGCATTCACTAGAGCACCAATCTCAAGAGACACAGAGTGGTCCGGGGGGGGGTATATTTGTCAAAAGGGACACTGTGGCACCCAGCTTGGCAGATCCAAAACATCCATCCAGCGAGCAAGTCGTGGCAACCAAATAGATAGAGTGAGTGTCAGGCACCCGTACGAAGGGTCACTTAAAGCCTCTTCTGAGTAGGGTTGGGAAAGCCTCCCTGCCAGAAAACTTGAAGAGCCACTGCCAGTAAGTGAAGGCAATATTGAGCTAAAGGTGTGACTCATTATAAGGCAGCTTCCTGCATTCTCAGATCTTTGGGGAAGGGCTGCAGCTCAGTGCTGTCCACACTGACTGCCAGAGGCTCTCCAGGGTTGCAGACAGGGACATGCCCAACCTAACCTGGAAATGCCATTGTTGAGGATTGTACCCAGGACCTTCTGCATGCAAAGCAGGTGCTCTGCCACTGAGCTATCCAACTTGATCAATAGTCTGACTTGGTGTGAGCTTCCTACGTTCCAACATTACGTTTTGATGCATGCACCTATGGCATTGGGCTTGCACGCCTGAAACATTTGCAGCCGCAAGAACCTTACAGGCTTCCAGGGACCTGTATCTGCTGCAGCACCTTCACAAGTACACATAACTAAGAAGGCCTTAGGAGGTCCACAACCATGTCCGCTTTGCATGCATAAGGTTCCAGGTTCAATCCCCAGCATCTCCGGGTAGGGCTGGGAGAGAACCCTCCTTGAAAGCCTGGAGAGCTGCTGCCAATCATTACAGACGACACTATGCTAGACGGACCCAATGGACTGACTCAGTACAAGGCAGCTTCCTAACTGAAAACCCTGAGAGCCAGGGCAGGAAAGGAAAGGGGCACTGAAGGTGGGTGCCTCCTTCGCACATATCTACCAGCAAGAGCAAGCAAGCTGGTTTGGAAGCCCTTATCAGGCAGCCTCAGAGCAGCAGGGGGATGGGAACAGTCCTTTTGGCTCCTATCTTGGTGGCCTGCCTTCACCTCTGCTCCCCCCAAAAGGGCATTTCCCCTCAATCTGGCACTCCAAGTCCATCCCCAGCCCCATCCAGAAGTCAGCCCTTCAAAGCAGGTTGGATCAGGCTAAGAGTCCCTAGCCCACAGCTTCCGACACCTCTAAGGTCTCCGGAGCAGAAAACCACGGTGACAGCCAGCTCCCCAGGGGGCCGTCGTCATTTAGAGGTAGACTGCGTGGCCTCAGGAGGTTCCATTGGGCCACCAAGTCAGACGGTTGCCAGCATCAATCGATTCTGTTGATTGACGTCCTGCTTTTAATTAATTAATGCCCTGCTTTTAACTAATTGACACCTCTTCTCCCAAACGTTGTTGTTAAACCAAAACAGATGCCAGTCTAGGAGTCAGACGTGCCTTGCCAGGTCGTGGCAAGGAAGGTCCACCCAAGCCTCCTTGGGGAAGCCCCACCTGAGCCCTCTCGTGTCGCAGGTGCTCAGCAACGGTAGACTGCGCCTGAGGCTGGAGGCTCACCGTCAGCCCTACCAGCACCGGCAGACTGCGGCCGAGCCTTGGCGGCTTCACGTCGACCCCCACCCCACCCCGAGCGCCCACCTGGTGGTGCGTCTCCTTCTCGACGTTGAGCCCGTTGACTTCGACGACGCGGTCCCCGGCGCGCAGCCCGGCCGCCTCGGCCGGCGAGTCGGGCTCCACTTTGCGGATGAACTGGCCGCTCTTGCCCTTCTCGCCGTGCAGGTGGAAGCCGTAGCCGTTGTCGCCCTTCAGCATGTGGCAGAGGCGCGGCTGCAGAGGTGGCGGCGGCGGCGGCGGCTGCTGGCGAGCGCGGCTCCCGGGGGGGCCTCCCGCCCCGGCTGCGGCCGCCGACGCCGCCCCGGCCGCCTCGGCGTCCTGCTCCTTGGCCATGGCCGGCCGGCCAGCCCGCAGCCTGTGCAGCAGCAACCGCGGCAGCAGCTCCCGAGCCGCCTCCTCCTGCGCCCCAGGCGCTTCCGACGGTCGGAGAGCGGCGAGGGGGCGGCCCTTAGGGGGGCGTCGCCGCCGCTGGGCCGCCCCGAGGGACCATCCCGACCCTCCCGCCTGCGCCCGCGACGACGACGACGACGGACCAGGCGCCCGGCCCTGGAAGCTGCGGCGGCGGCGCACCGATGGGCCAGCTCGCGAGCGGACGGCGCCCCCCTGAGCGCTCGCAGGCCGAAGGCGCAGCTGCGCCCTCCCGCCTCCTCCAGGCTGCAACCCGGAACCTTCCAGAGATGGGGAGGGAGGGGGTCCCCCCTTCTTCCTCCTCCTGCAGTAACCTCTCTCTTCCCCCCGAGGGCAGCCTGGGCAAAGGACCCCCAGATGCCAGCGGGGTCAGGAGAAGCGGCTGGGTTAGAACCTTTGGTGCTGGGATGAATTAAAAGGGGCGGCGGAGTTCGCTGGGGCAAGGCAGCCCTTCTCCCCGGATCCCCCAACCAGTTTTTCGAAGGCCGGCCTCGGGACTCCGGGTGAAGCAGCCGCCCAGCAGAAAGGGGAGCAAAGCGTGCCTCTGGCCTCGTGCAAAGCGCCATCCCCGTCTTTTCGCAGCCACCCTTTTGAGAGGCGAGGCGGGGAGTATTCGGAGCAGGAAGGATTCCCAGGCAGGGCTGGATCTTTAAGAGTTTTGGGGCGCAAAAGTGTACCGGGAAGAAAGAGGGGGGAAGGGGGTGCCGCTTTTGCCAAGCTGGTGCCCTCCTCATGTTGTTGGACTGCTATTCCCATCAGCCAGGAATGATGGGAGTTATAGTTGAAAACATTTGGACCGCACTGGATAGAAAGGGGAGAGAGCCTACGCTTACTCCGCATTTGCTTCAATGGCATGCAGTGGGAACGGGACTGAGTTAGGCATGTGCCTTTGCCAACCTTCGGTGCTCTCCAGCTGTTTGGGACTACAATTCCCATCAACCCCAAGGAAGCACAGTCTTAGGATGCTGGGGCTGATGGGAGTTGTAGTCCAAAACTGCTTCAGAGTGCCAGGGCAGCGACTGCTGGTGTACAGGATTGGAGGTATCCCCTTCATGTTTCCAAGATTCACTTCACTTGCTGATTATTACAGCCACTGCATTCTAAAATAATAATGCCTGACATCTGTCTCATATTCAAAGGGTTTCACATTTTATTTTCTTGCTTACTAGATTTAAATAAGGCCACACAACAGGATTGTTCTCTGGCAACACACAGATAAGATAAAACACAGTTTAAATGTACTATACTATAAAAATTACAGTTTACAGCAGAAAAGGGAATAGAAATACAACTAAAAGTATACAGTATATACGGTAAGCATTGCTGCTGGGAGCGGAGCTGAGAGAGACTTGCCTTAAGAGAGGGCGCCTGAAATAGGCAAGATTTGAACCCAGATCATCCTGATTTGCAGGCCAAGCCATTATGCATTTAGTAGGATTCCACCAATTTGGTTTTCAAAAGTTAATTCGTTTTGTTGGTCTTTTTAAAAGTGCATTTATCTAGCACACATTTGCAAGAGATGTGTGGAGAGACAAGGTTTTCAAATGATTACTAGTCATGGCTATGTAGTAACAACAACAACAACAACAAAATTTATTTCTTATACCCTGCCCATCTGAGTGGGTTGCCCCAGCCACTCTGTGCAGCTTTCAACAAAATTACAGGAAAAGCAACAACAACATCAAACATGAAGAGCTTCCCGAAACAGGAACATAAGAGGAAGTTGCTGGATCAGGCCAGTGGCCCATCTAGCCCAGCTTCCTGTTCCCACAGTGGACAACCAAGTGCCCCAGTGGATTAGAACACAAGAGCCCTCTCCCCTCCCGTGGTTTCCAGCAACTGGTATTCAGAAACATTACTGCCTCTGACTGTGGAGGCAGCGCATAGCCCTTGTGGCTAGTAGCCATCGATAGCCCTCTCCTCTGTGAATTTCTCTAACCCCCTCTTAAAGTCACCCACGTAGTTGGCCATCATTTGCTCCTGAAGGAGCGAGTTCCAGTGTTCAACTAGACACTCTGTGAACAAACCCTTTTAACTGCCCTGAATCATTGGACGTCCACTAGTTCCTGTGTTAAGACAGAGGGAAAGAAACTTATCTGTCCACTATCGCCGTGCCTCCGCTACTAGAGACATCATGCATCTGAATACCAGCTGCTGGTTTAATAATAATAATAATAATAATAATAATAATAATAATAATAATAATAACAACAACAATAATAATAATAATTTATTTATACCCCGCCCATCTGGCTGGGTTTCCCCAGCCACTCTGGGTGGCTTCCAACACAATATTAAAATACAGTAATACATCAAACATTAAAAGCTTCCCTAAACAGGGATCCAGTGGGGCACTTCATTTCAGAAGGGGATTAGACCAATCAGTGGAGGATGAGGCTACATCTGTGGCTGCTGCTTTCCACAGTACTATATAGGGCATCTCCAGTTCCCAGGGCAGGATGGCATCATCGGGGGTTGCTGCTGGTACCATGAATGGAGAGAGCCACTGCTGAGCTCAGGATTTGCTCAACTGTTTCCCATGGGCATCAGGTTGGCAGCTTTGGGAACAGGATGCTGGACTAGCTGGGCTTTTGGCCTGATCCAGCAAGCAGGCTATTCTGATGTTCTTATGTCCCCTATATACACTACCAGGACCCTACAAAGACCTGATGAACGAGAGCATCACCCCACTCGTACTAACCATCCCAGGGCGCTCAACCACTGCCACAATGCCCTTTCTTCTATCAGATCAAAATAAGCAGATAACAGCAAAGGTTGCTAGGTTCATAGCAGGGGCAATCAGAATAAGGGCCACTAACTGACTGCTGATTCAGGACTTTAAATTGTGCTTTTATATCAAATTTCCTTTTCTGCATATACTGTAATGTTTTACTGTTGCTATGGCCATTGGCTAACGTGAATAAAGTTTTATCTCTCTCTCTATGCACCACCAGGACCCCATTGACTGCATAAAGAGCCCTGGCGCAGCAGCAGAGTGCATGCAGGAGTGCACAGGCTCAAGCCTAGGATGTGACTGGTTGATTTATCTTGTTTAAATCTGTTTTAGATCTCCCCTTCAGTCTTACAGGTACCAGGAATGACCAAGTCATCACGCCATAAGTTGAGTGGTCTTGTTCATTTGTCCCATTAATTTCAAGGGGTACAGTAGTACCTCAGGTTACATACGCTTCAGGTTACATAAGCTTCAGGTTACAGACTCCGCTAACCCAGAAACAGTGCTTCAGGTTAAGAACTTTACTTCAGGATGAGAACAGAAATCGTGCTCCGGCAGCACGGCGGCAGCAGGAGGCCCCATTAGCTAAAGTGGTTAAGAACAGTTTCAGGTTAAGTACGGACCTCCGGAACGAATTAAGTACTTAACCTGAGGTACCACTGTATTTCATAAGATAACATGGAGCTGGTTGGGGGGGTCCATGTTGATTAGTTCAGCGGGAAGGATGCCATTTGGGATTTCCCCTGCCGCCATAACTTTGGGGCTTCCTCAAAAAAAGGAGTAACCCCTGAATCATCTCGAAAGGGCACTTGAAATGGGCAGGCTCTCCTCTCCTTTCTGAAGCAGCCTTGAAATATTCTAGCTGACTTAGAATCAGACCAACAGTCCATCTAGCTCACTCAGTATTGCCGACACTGGCCGGCAGCATCTCTCCAGGGTTTCAGACAGGGAGTCTCTCTGGAGATGCTGGGAATTGGAACATCTGTTGTAACCCTCCCCTTCAGAGTGAAGGCTTCCCAAATCTTTCCTGCCTCCGCAAAGGGCTACCTGCAGGAAATTTGCTTTTGTTCACAAAGGGAACATAATGGCAACAAAATTAGCGCTTGCAAGAGGTTCCCCGCCGCTTTGCCTTTGAATGTTCTGCAATTCTGAGTCAGGGAAAAGGCACCACTATTTCAGAGTACGGCCACGGCTGGGTCTCCTGCCATTTCTCTTCTCCTGGAGTTGGTGCTTGGTGTTTTTGCTTGCTGCGCTGGGGGGCAGGGGGGACACACACAAGGAGGCGGCTTCAAGCACACCTCCAAAAAGCCTCACAGAAGCAAATGAGGCTTCTTGGTTTGGTTATCATTAGGGCCAGCGGGACACCACATGGCCTCTGACTAATACCACGGACTTAATGCAGAAGAGATTTACTGGGAAGAGTTGAGGACCCCACTGAGCAAAAGGCTGAAGGCCATGGAGGATAATCCGTTTTAAGAGAGCCACAGCTCAGGGGCTGAGAGAGAGAAACCGGATTCCTCACGCCGGAGCATTCTTGTTGCAAAGCTGGGGGATCGTTTCACGCATGAAGAAAATGAAAGCCAGTTTTTCCGGCTTTTAAAAACCGTGCTGTGAAATGTCACCTTGTCAGGCCACCGCTGCATACCCATGGTTGACAGCTAGGCTGGGACAAAAAGGTGGGTCAACTCTCGGCTTGAAAGCCACCCCCTGGGTCAGCCTCATCCAACTTGAGACACAACAAGGGCAAATACCAATGAAGTATGCCTGTCTATTAAGTGCTCAAGAACCGCCCCCGCCCCGCCCCCCGTCCCAGTTTTTTCTGCTTGCCAGGAAGAAGCAGCAGCAGCAGCAGCAAGTGATAGAAGGTCCCAGGTTCTTTGCTCAGCATCTCCTGGTATGGCTGGGGAAAGACCCCTGGAAAGCCACTGCCGGTCAGTGTTGACCATACTGATCTAGATGGATCAATGCCTCGTTTCAAGGAAGGTTCCTCTGCTCCAGCTTCCTATGCAGGGAGCCAGTGTGGCGAAATGGTTAGAGTGCTTGACTATGACCTGGGAGACCAGGGTTTGAAACCCCACTCAGCCAGGTGACTCAACAAAGGCAGGTGGTGTCCTTAAGTGCATGCAGACCGCCTTCTCCCTTTAAAGATCAACTCCAGTTCTTAACACACCAATGTGTTGTGACACAATTTGGAAAGCTCTGAACTAAAGGTATTGAAGGAGGTGGGGCATAAGATCATAAAGTCCACTCTGTAAAAATTACCTAATTGCACCGCTGTGCCTAGTCAATCCATCATATGCCTTCTTTTTTTCTTATATGTGTTCCTGGCATGGTCGTCTAGGCACTCATAATGTTTGAACATGGAAGCTGCCTTGCACCAAGTTAGAGCATTGCCCCATCTAACTCAGTATTGTCTACACAGATTGGCAGCAGCTCTCCAGGGTTTCAGGCAGGGGCTGTCTTCCAAGCCCCATCTAAAGATGCCATTGAGGATTGAACCTTCTTCATGCAAGGCAGGTGCTCTCCCAGTGAGCTATAGCCCTTCCACTGAACTGAGAACCAGCTCCTTCAGTGCTGTGCAGGCTTTTGGGAGGAAACTTTAAACCCAAAGCAACTCTGCTT